AAGATGGCAGTAATGGACTTTCAGATATAACAGAGTACACTGTGCAACCAAACAAAAGAATAAGTATTAAACATAATAACTGGCTGTAAGTTGAACAAGATACATACTGAGTACATCATAAATATTTATTAGAGAGTAACCATGGTAATTAATAAACACACTAATCAACACTAGGAGAATACAGTATCTTAAATCCATTCCATGGCAAGATAAACTTCACAACTCACCTATTCATGAACCATACATGACCAAATTAATATTTTTGATGTGAACATCAGAATATCTGGCCTAACAAATACCAGTGAACTTATGAGAGCAAGACTGTGAAATATCTTGAATAAAGCTACCTCTGCCCCACACTTCAACACTGATAATTTATAGTCTCAAATTCCAATGGCTTATCACAGCTACAGGGTAATTGCTAAAATGAAAGCACTGGCTTTGGAGTTAGAAATAATCTCAGTTTAAACACAGATCTTCCACTACTCATTGTGAAACCTTGGTAAAACTACTTAAATTCTCCATGCCAACTGTAAAGAAGAAATAATACCTGCCTATAAGAGCTGTTGTGCCACTAGACTTGTTGTGGTGATCATTTCATAATATATACAAATATCGAATCATCATATTGTACACCTGAAACTAATATGTCAATTGAATCTCAAAAAAACAAATTAAGAAAAAGAATTGCTGTGAAGATGAAGTTGCAATATATAACGTGCTTAGCTAAACATCTGGAACAAAGTCAATATTCCATAACTGGTCTTCACCGTACTATTACTACTTCTGTGAATTTTGAGACCCATACCACCATATCAACTACTGGTACTACTTCTACTACAGCAACCACGAAGCAACAGTCACTGCATCCCATTCCTCTTGGCCAAGATATTACTAGGGGTAGCATATAAACTATAAAAATTCAGATTCTTTGGATATAAAAACATAAGGCCCCCTGGGACAGCTAAAATTAAAAAAAAATAAAAACAGACAATATCAAATGTTGGTGAGGATGTGGAGAAATTGGAACCTTCATATACTGCTGGTAGAAATGTAAACTGGTGCAGTCACTTTGGAAAATATTTGCGTAGTTCTTCAAAATATTAAAAAGTTACCATATGACCCAGCAATTCCACTCCTAGATAATATACCCAAGAGAAATGAAAACACACATTCATACAAAAATGTACACAAATGTTTACAGCAGCATTATTGAAAATAGCCATAAAGTGGAAACAACCCAAATGTCTGTCAACAATGAATGGATAAACAAATATGGTACAGCCATACAATGGAATACTATTCAGAAATAAAAAGGAATGAAGTATTGATATATGTTACAACATGGACGAACATTGAAAACATTATGCTGAGTGAAAAAAGCCACATTATATGATTCCATTTATATGAAATGTTCAGAATTGCAAATCCTTAGAGACAACATATAGATTAGTGATTGCCAGGTACTGGGGGGGGGGG